ACTTGTTAGCCGGAGCTTTTATACTAGTGATTAATGTTTGTAATGTAGTGACTCTAATTCCAAACTCTTGAGTTTCTAGCAACCGTTGGGAGTTAGGCCTTTATTGTCCTGCGTGGATGGATCAAAGCAGTGGGTAAAAATAACATTTTAAGGAGAAACTTCCTAACGGTGAAGACAATTAACCCGTGGAACAGCTTGCCTTCGGGAGTCGTGGGAGCTCCATCACAGGAGGTTTTTAAGAAGAGTGTGCGGTGGCAGCCAAAAAGAAGCCAACACAATCCTAAAATGGGATGCAATCAGGGGTGAAACCCAGCAGGTTCTGACAGGTTCTGGAGTACCAGTAGCGGAAATTTGAAGCAGTTCAGGGAACCGGTAGCGGAAATTTTGAGTAGTTCGGAGAACTGGCAAATGCCACCTCTGGCTGGCCCCAGAGTGGGGTGGGAATGGAGATTTTGCAGGAGTAGGAAGGGAATGGGGATTTTGCAGTATCCTTCCCCCTGGAGTGGGGTGGGAATGGGGATTTTACAGCATCCTTCCCCTGCCACGCCCATCAAGCCATACCATGCCCACCAAGCCACGCCCACAGAACCGGTAGTAAAAAAAAATTGGATTTCACCACTGGATGCAATCAAGATCAAGCGAGGTACTAATACCACTCTATAAAGCCTTAGTAAAACCACACCTAGAGTACTGCATCCAGTTTCGGTCACCACACTATAAAAAAATAATGTGGAGACTCTGGAAAGAGTGCAGAGAAGAGCAACCAGGATGATGAGGGGACTGGAGGCTAAAACATACGATGAACGGTTACAGGAACTGGGCATGGCTAGTCTAGTGAAGAGAAGGACCAGGGAAGACAGGATAGCAGTCTTCCGATATTTGAGGATCTGCCACAGAGAGGAGGGGGTCAAGCTATTTCCCAAAGCACCTGAAGGCCAGACAAGGAATCATGGATGGAAACTGAACAAGGAGAGATTCAACCTAGAAATAAGGAGAAATTTTCTGACACTGAGAACAATCAACCCATGGAACAGAAGTTGCCTTCAGAAGTTGTGATGTTTCATCACTTGAGAAGAGACTGGACTGCCATCTGTCAGAAATGGTGTAGGGTCTCCTGCCTGAGCAGGGAGTTGGACTAGAAGACCTCCAAGGTCCCTTCCACCTCTGTTATTCTATTCTATTCTAATGTGCCAAGATCTGGGGTTTAGAATAGCTCAAGTAGACAAGGGATGTACTCAGAGGCACTCTTTCCAAATAGGAAACCAAGCAAAATTCAACATTTTAGTCGCTGCAACGGGCCTAGGAACAACCCTCCCGCTGAGCTGCATTGATCCAAATATCAATTAACGACCGGGTTGCAATCGGTGGCAACTCAGAGCAAAGCAAAAAACGTGGAGAAGATCTGAACTTTTCCAAGAGAGGCTTACAGTGAGGGGAGAAGGGGGAAAAAAAAATGTTTGGGCTTGAGCGCAACGCAGCCGTCATGTGCCCGGCAGGTAGAGCAAACATACTTCTGCATTAGCTCTTTGAAAAGAAAGACGGGAGCCGCAACTTCGACCCGCAATTTTGTTTCCTCCCCCCTGTCCACCTCCCGAACTGTTCTATTAATGCCAATCAAATTGAGAAAATGATCAAATGAAATTGCATTTTGAGCATCGTAAGCTGTGTAATGTCTCTTCTATTAAATTGAGGCCCGTAATTGCTTCCCTGCTGGGAGGAAAAAAAAAAAAAAAAAAAAAAAAAAAGAAGGAGAAGAAGGAGAAGAAGAAGGACGACAACAAAGGCCTGCAATCATGAGATGTCATTATCCCCAGACCAGTAAACCGGCCTTTGGAAGAAAACTTCAAAGGCTCCGGGTTCTTGAATTGCATTTGGCTGCTATTGTGGAAACCCGGGCAATCTTGATGAGGTGTTTACACGGAGGTAAGGCGGAGTGGCACAGAAAGCCTGAGTGCCTTAGTCTAGAGCCATTAAAAAATTGTACATTATGTTTCTTGCTTTGAAGTAAAAAGGGGGAATAGACGAGGCTTATTTTTTTTTTTTTTTTTTGAGAAGGAAAGCAACTGGCTCGGAGCGCAGCTGAGTGAGAGACGGGAGGCAGCTCCATTCTCTCAAAGGAACTCATCATCCTCGGCTTCGCGGAGAAATCAGGCAATCCTGATGGCCGAAAAAGAAAACCGATGCTTGAGAAAATGCGCCGGGGAATTAAGGGGACATTTCAACTTCCAACCAGGTTTAGGCTATCTAGCGCAGGTGTGTTGCACCCATTTAAGGACGGGGCCGCAGCAGTCATAATGGAGAACGTTAATAGAAGGCTCTTTGCCCGAAGGCTGAAAGTGGCTTTAGCCGAACGCTGCTTTGTGCCGCCGAGAGTTGTGTTTTTTAAGGCGTCTGTCTTCAGGCAGAAGTCGGCAAGGTGGTGATCGCGGGCGCCGAGATGCTTAGTAGGCTCTCTCTTTGATGCTCAAGTCCCAACCCCACCTGGCTTTATTTCCACCTCTGATTTCCCCCCTCCACCCCCCAAATAAACCCACGGAAAGCCAGGAGGCTACACAAGAGAAGTGGTATTCAGCCAGTTCAGACCGGTTCAGGCAAACCGGTTGCGGAAATTACGGGTGGACCTGCCCACCTGTCCCAGCTCTATGTCGTTCTATTTAAGCACGTTTTGGAATAAATAACGTATTATATTTTTATCCTGCCTTTATTATTTTATAAGTAATTCAGGACTTCTTCCTTCCTTCCTTCCTTCCTTCCTTCTTTCCTCCCTCCCTTCCAATCTTCCTCCCTTTCCCCTAATCATTTTAACCATTCAGCAATCCATTTTCTTCTTCCTTCCTTCCTTCCTTCCTTCCTTCCTTCCTTCCTTCCTCTTTCTTTCTTCTTCCTTCCTTTCTTCTTTCTTTCTTTCTTTCCATGCTTTCTTTCTTTTTCTTTCTTTCCTTCTCTTTCTTTTCTTTCTTTCTTTCTTTCTTTCTTTCTTTCCTTCCTTCCTTTCCTTCCTCCCTCCCTTCCTTCTCGCTCTCTCTCATTCTCTTTCTTTCCTTCTCTTCCTTCCTTCCTTCCTTCCTTCCTTCCTTCCTTCCTTCCTTCCTTCCTTCCTTCTTTTTCTTTCTTTTTCTTTCTTTCCTTCTCTTTCTTTTCTTTCTTTCTCTTTTTTCTTTCTTTCTCTCTTTCTTTCTTTCCTTTCCTTCCTTCCTTTCCTTCCTCCCTTCCTTCCTCCCTTCTCTCTCCCTTTCTTTCTTTCCTTCTCTTTTTCTTTCTTTCTTTTTCTCTCCTTCCTTCCTTCCTTCCTTCCTTCCTTCCTTCCTTCCTTCCTTCCTTCCTCCCTCCCTCCCTTCCCTTCCCTCCCTTCCTCTTTGTTCCTTTTCCTCTGTCTGTTTGAATTTTGTGACTGTCTATTTTGTTACTAAGAAAGGCCTCTCAAAGGCAGCCTTTATGTCAGGGTACCTACCATACACTTGCCACATAAGCAAGATTTTTTGGAATTTTAAGTTGGGGGAAGAAATGGTCAGCTTCCCACGAGCCATACCTTCCAGCCTGCCTGCTCAGTGCTTACTGTGATTTTATTTTTCCTAGCATTATAAGAAGAAAAAAAAAACCCACCACCCATTGCTATTTAACAGCACACCCCTGGCTTCATCTCAGCCTCCTTACCAAAGATGGGAGATTAAAAGGATAGATGACACCGAGAAGCAGACTAAGTCACTTCTTTTACCTGGAAAATGCGTCTGAATATTGGACAGCCTGCTGTGAACACTCACAAACGGATTACCTACCGTGTTTCCCCGAAAACAAGACCTCCCCGGATAATAAGTCCTTCCCTGAAAATAAGCCCTCCCTTAAACCATTTAACCACATTTGCAGCCAGTCCCTTCCATTTTTTTTTTTTAAATTTGATTTATATGCCGCCCTTCTCCAGGGCGGCTTACAGTGCGTTAAGCAATAGCCTTCATACTTTTGTATATTTTTATACAAAGTCAGCTTATTGCCCCCACAAACTGGGTCCTCAATTTACCTACCTTAGAAAGGATGGAAGGCTGAGTCAACCTTGAGCCTTGGCAAGATTCGAACTTACTTTAATTGCAGACAGCTGGTGTTAAATTACAGTGCTTTTAGTCTGCAGAGCTATCCAGGCTCCTCTGGTTAGGGTAAGGGAGACAGGTGGAAATCAGGTAAGACGGCAAGAGGAGCCCCGTCTTGCTCCACACGCCCCAAAATAATAAGACATCTCTGAAAATAAGGCCAAGCGCTTATTTCAGGGTTCAAGGAAATATAAGACAGGGTCTTATTTTCGGGGAAACATGGTACAAAAAGCACCCATTTACGATAAAGCAAACTGATAAAACCTTTCCCCAGCTCTGACTTCCAAGATCCACCCTCTCCACGCCCCCCCCTCCAACTCCAGGCCCTAAATTTGATTTTTGACTTTGAAGATTTTTTTTAGACAAAATCTAAAACGTTCCTGTGCCATAGCCACCTCTCCCATTTTTATTTTCGAGTTCTAACGGGACCCAGAAACGTTCCTGTCAATAAAGGCAAAGGTAAAGCTTCCCCTCGCACATATGTGCTAGTCGTTCCTGACTCTAGGGGGCGGTGCTCGTCTCCGTTTCGAAGCCGAAGAGGCAGCGCTGTCTGAAGACGTCGCCGTGGTCATGTGGCCGGCATGACTCAACGCCAAAGGCGCACGGAACGCTGTTACCTTCCCACTAAAGGTGGTCCCTATTTTTCTGCTTGCAATTTTTTACGTGCTTTCAAACTGCTAGGTTGGCAGAAGCTGGGACAAGTAACTTATCTTTTTTATTTATTTTATTTATTTATTTTTTAATTGATCTTGTCAATAAAAGGAAACTAATGTTCCGCTTTGCAGGATGCCCGTTCCCCCCGTTCTGTTTTCTAATTAAAAGAAACTTGCAACAATCCCCCTTCCCAATTTTCCACGGCACTAAATGTGGCAGCCCTGAAGATCCAAAGAAAATATGGCTTCCAGGGCTGATCGTTACCTTCTCTTCAAAGCCTTCTTCTCTCTGCTTTTTGCCATGGAGCCGAAGGTAGGACTTGTTCTGCTGGGTTCCTAATCCCAGCGTGTTTTTGTTTTTCTCGATGAAGTCTTTGTCGGGTCTCGGTTTCGGCGGTTCTTTGAACCGAACCCTGCAGCCAGAACTGGCCAAACTCTCATTGCTGTCATAGTGATGGTTGACACCTGCTTTTCTTCCTTTCTTCTCCAACCTGGAAGGTCTGTCTCTGCCAGCTCCAGGTTCGTCACCAGAAGGGCTCCAGAGTTCTCCAGCAATTGCTGATGAGATATTTCGAGGACTTTCCTGTAACTGGACGTTTTTGGACAGGATCCCGCCTTGGGAAAGACAGCAGGTCAGATCAAGGGAAGTCAAGCTGAAGTTTTCCAGTTCGTTCTGGTGGGAATCTTCTAACTCGAGGAAGCTTCTTCCTTCTGGGCTGTCTTTCCAGTTTGGATTGTAGCGCAGCTCGGAATACTTGTCCACGATGTTTCCCCGAATGCTAAAAAACAAAGCAAAAGGCGAAGAAATTTAAAAGTTGGCCAAGAGGGTGACGGTTTTTAAAGACGTTCAAAATCTTATCTCCTTAGATCCCAGAATAATTCATGTTGAAAGCTGCCCAGAGTCGCCTTGTAGCAAGCTGGGCATCAACAGAATAGAATAGAATAGAATAGAATAGAATAGAATAGAATAGAAAGAATAGAATAGAATAGAATAGAATGGAATGGAATGGAACGGAACGGAACGGAACGGAACGGAACGGAACGGAACGGAACGGAGAGTAGAGTAGAGTAGAGAGTAGAGTAGAGTAGAGTAGAGTAGAGTAGAGTAGAGTAGAGTAGAATATATAGAGTAGAGTAGAATATAGAGTAGAGTAGAATAGAGTAGAGTAGAATATAGAGTAGAATATAGAGAGTAGAGTAGAATATAGAGAGTAGAGTAAAATATAGAGTAGAATATAGAGAGTAGAGTAGAATATAGAAGAGTAGAGTAGAATATAGAGTAGAATATAGAGAGTAGAGTAGAATAGAGAGTAGAATATAGAGAGTAGAATATAGAGTAGAATATAGAGTAGAGTAGAATATATAGAGTAGAGTAGAATATAGAGTAGAATATAGATAGTAGAGTAGAATAGAATATAGAGTTGAATATAGAGTAGAGTAGAGTAGAGTAGAGTAGAATATAGAATAGAATATAGAGTAGAATATAGAGAGTAGAGTAGAATATAGAGTAGAGTAGAATAGTAGAGTAGAATATAGAGAGTAGAATAGAATATATAGAGAGTAGAGTAGGGTAGAATAGAATAGAGAGAGTAGAGTAGAATATAGAGTAGAATATAAAGTATAGAGTAGAATAGTAGAGTAGAATATAGAGTAGAATATAGAGAGTAGAGCAGAGTAGAGTAGAATATAGAGAGAGTAGAATAGAATATAGAGTAGAGTAGAATAGAGTAGAATAGTAGAGTAGAATATAGAGTAGAGTAGAGTAGAAGAGAAGAATAAGTAGACTGGAATGGAATGGAACAGAACAGAACAAGACCTTGGAGGTCTTCTCGTCCAGCCCCTGCTCAAGCAGGAGAACTTCTGCCATTTCAGATAAGTGACTGTCTAGAGTCTCTTCTTAAAAACCTCCAATGATGAAGCACCCACAATTCCTGGAGGCAAGCTATTCCACTGATTATTTGTTCCCATGCCCGGAATTTTCTCCTTAGTTCTAGGCTGCTTTTCTCTTTGATTACTTTCCATCCGTTGCTTCGTGTCCTGCCGTCAGGTGCTTTGGAGAGTAATTTGATCCCCTCCTTCTTTGTGGCAGTACCTCAAACACAGGAATACTGGAATTTAATACATAATAATTAATAAATAGTAATAATTCATGCAAGTTAGGAGAGATTTAAGGATGCTTCCTCAAGGGAGGGTGAAACGGCGATATTTTTTGATTAGAATGCACTTTATATAGATAGTCCTCAGTGTACGACCTCAATTGGGATTGGAATTTCCCTTGCTAAGCAAGGAGGGTTGTTAAGAGAGTCACGCCCGATTTTACAACCCTTTTTTTAAAAACCAAGGTTGTTAAGCGGATCGTTGCAGTTGTTCAATGAATCGTGCGGACATTAAGCGAATCCAGCTTCCGCCGCTGACTTTGCTTGTCAGAAGCTGGCTGGGAAAGTCGCAAACGGTTGAACACCTGATCCTGGGACGCTGGAACCCTTGTAAATATATGCTGGTTGACAAGCTCCTGAATTTTGATCACGTCTCCACGGGGATGCCGGGGTGGTCATAAGTGTGAGGACTGGTCACAAATTGTATTCAGACGGTCACTAAGTGAATTGTTATAAGTCGAGGACTCCCTGTACATGATTGCTGCCAAGCTTGGGGATGCCGCAGTGGTTCTAAAGTGGGGAGGAAGTGCAGAATTGTACAGGGAGTCCTTGACTTACAACCATTTGTTTAGTGACCGTTTGAATACAATTTGTGACCAGTCCTCACACTTATGACCACCCCGGCATCCCCGTGGAGACGTGATCAAAATTCAGGAGCTTGTCAACCAGCATATATTTACAAGGGTTCCAGCGTCCCAGGATCAGGTGTTCAACCGTTTGCGACTTTCCCAGCCAGCTTCTGACAAGCAAAGTCAGCGGCGGAAGCTGGATTCGCTTAATGTCCGCACGATTCATTGAACAACTGCAACGATCCGCTTAACAACCTTGGTTTTTAAAAAAAGGGTTGTAAAATCGGGCGTGACTCTCTTAACAACCCTCCTTGCTTAGCAAGGGAAATTCCAATCCCAATTGAGGTCGTACACTGAGGACTATCTATATAAAGTGCATTCTAATCAAAAAATATCGCCGTTTCACCCTCCCTTGAGGAAGCATCCTTAAATCTCTCCTAACTTGCATGAATTATTACTATTTATTAATTATTATGTATTAAATTCCAGTATTCCTGTGTTTGAGGTACTGCCACAAAGAAGGAGGGGATCAAATTACTCTCCAAAGCACCTGACGGCAGGACACGAAGCAACGGATGGAAAGTAATCAAAGAGAAAAGCAGCCTAGAACTAAGGAGAAAATTCCGGGCATGGGAACAAATAATCAGTGGAATAGCTTGCCTCCAGGAATTGTGGGTGCTTCATCATTGGAGGTTTTTAAGAAGAGACTCTAGACAGTCACTTATCTGAAATGGCAGAAGTTCTCCTGCTTGAGCAGGGGCTGGACGAGAAGACCTCCAAGGTCTTGTTCTGTTCTGTTCCATTCCATTCCAGTCTACTTATTCTTCTCTTCTACTCTACTCTACTCTATATTCTACTCTACTATTCTACTCTATTCTACTCTACTCTATATTCTATTCTACTCTCTCTATATTCTACTCTACTCTGCTCTACTCTCTATATTCTACTCTATATTCTACTCTACTATTCTACTCTATACTTTATATTCTACTCTATATTCTACTCTACTCTCTCTATTCTATTCTACCCTACTCTACTCTCTATATATTCTATTCTACTCTCTATATTCTACTCTACTATTCTACTCTACTCTATATTCTACTCTACTCTCTATATTCTACTCTATATTCTATTCTATATTCTACTCTACTCTACTCTACTCTACTCTATATTCAACTCTATATTCTATTCTACTCTACTATCTATATTCTACTCTATATTCTACTCTACTCTATATATTCTACTCTACTCTATATTCTACTCTATATTCTACTCTCTATATTCTACTCTCTATTCTACTCTACTCTCTATATTCTACTCTATATTCTACTCTACTCTCTGCCCGTTCTCCCCAATGCAGTCCTTCTCTCCAACACAATTAGCCTCCTTTCCTGCGTTGCGATAAAAACCATTCAAAAGCTCCCCACTTTGCCCGGCCGGAGAGGCATATGGGAAGCGTGCTGTTCGTAATGAAGTCCCCTTTTCTCTCTTTGCGATGTTTGTCTCCAAGCAGGGCATTAAATGGGACATGTTTATCATTTTTCAATTCGGGCTTAATTTAATCCTTTGAAAACAGCCATTATTTGGCATTTATGTGGCATTAATGCTCCAATGAACATAACAAATCCAATTTTCTATCTGCGCAGAAGAGGAAAGTTAATGCGGCTCTCGGAACAAGTGAGGAATGTTTTAATTTTGCACTTAGGCAGTTATTGAATAAAAAGAGACAACCCATCCACTGGTGCTTCCCCCCTCTGCAAATCCTTCAAAATAATAATGTTTTCCAGAGTGATACAGTCTAAGATCTCTTGAATATGGCAGCCCTCTGTATATTATTTGAAATCAATGAAATTTATAGCTATTAACTCGCCACTTATTCAGCTAACTGCTTCTAAAATGATTATATCTGCATTTTTTTTTTTTCCCCTTCAACCGGAGGGTGAAGCAAAACGCTCGCTAGGAGAACTGGCAAATGATGAAAAACAAGAGAATGACATCAATACAAAAGCAGGATTAAATATAAGGCGGATATACAGATCAGTGAATTAAAAACACAACTCGAGTCAAACCATATGCCAGGTATTACGAAGGTTCAGAAGTAGCCAAATGGACAACCAATTGAATATGTGCCAAGGCAATCCTAAATTGCAGGAATAGAGGGATACGATCAGGAGCACGTGAGGTACTAATGCCACTCTATAAAGCCTTAGTAAGACCACACCTTGAGTACTGCAGCCAGTTTTGGTCACTGCACTGCAAAAAAAGATGTTGAGGCTCTAGAAAGAGTGCAGAGAAGAGTACAGTAACGCCCCTTCCTCCCTGCCCAAACAGCAGACACTACACCTGGGGTGAAATGCTCCCGGTTCAGACCGGATGGCCCGAACCGGTAGTGATAGCGGCGGGTGGTTCGGAGAACCGGTAGCAAAAATCCCTGCACAGCTGAGCCGCGCGATCGTCAGAGGCTTCTTTTTTTTTATTTTTAAAAGCATTTTTTTCGGCCGAAGAGGTTGTAGAAAAAATGCTTTTAAAAGTAAAAAAAA